TCAAGTTTATCAAACTCCTCCCACGTACACCTTAGACGACCCGGTGCCGGTAACAGCTAGCTCGCTTGCAATCCCGGTACCGGTGTAGAGAAACAATGCTGTGAGACTGTCGCTCGAAGTCAACACATCCGGGCTTCCGTCACGATTCGCATCAACGATCAAGATCTTGCGGATGCCGGTGAGCGTCGTCAGCGGGCTTGAGATGGCGCGGCCACTTCCGAATCGCCCCCTCCCATCCTGATTGGCATGCCACGCCAGTGCCGCCGCCGCCACAACCACGTCCAAATCGCCGTCATCGTCCATGTCAGCTACGGCAACGTACGACGCCGTCGTCGTGCTCACCGGTGTCAACGCACCAAACGAGACTTCGCCGTTGAGGTTAGGAAGCCAGCCGACGACGTCGGGCGTGCGGATCACCGCATCAGTATCGCCGTCGAGGTCGAGATCGGCCAAGACAACATCCAAGACCAGCTCATGGTACACATTCGTTCCGCGCGCAAAGCCAACACCTGACATAGGAAGCGCATCAGCCGTCTCAAACCACGTGACGGTACTAGAAGTTGCGACAAACAAATCATCATCGCCGTCGCCATCCATGTCGACAACCGTCAGCTTTCCGCCGTTGTCCGCAACTTGCTCGACCTCGGCCACTGCGCCGCCGCGGAATGCATATGTGTTCGACTTGGTGCTGCTGCTCGATGCTGACACTACCAGCCCTCGCGCAGGCGTAATGGCAACGTCAACAGGTACACCCAAAGGCACAGAGACCTGCAGGAGCGGTCCAAATCCGCGCGCTCCATCGCCGCGCATCCATCCCCCACCACTGGACGAGACAACACCGATATCATTCGTGCCATCGCCGTCAACGTCGCCAACCGCGACGCCCACAAGATTCGAGAGAGGCACATCCACCACAGCACTGCTCCAGGTGCCAGCAGCTTCAGCGTACCACACAACAACTGCTTCATCGTTCCAAACCAGCACGTCTGGCGCACCAGCTCCATCAACATTGCCGCATACCGCCCCTCGCGCACCAAAGAGCCGAATGGACGAGTCTGGCAACGCAATGCCTGAAGAGCCGTTGCCAGGTATCCAGATCACAGTCCCGTTGCTGGTCACGGCCGCAACGCCGGAGCCATCCGGCACTGCACACAGTGCGGCAATGCTCGCGCTCGTGTCAGACACGTTGGCAAGCGTAGAAATGTTCCACGCCAGCCCGTCGCTCGCTGCCAACACTACCGCGTCTGCGCAGGCAGCAACAATATCAGCAGAACCGTCGCGGTTGACGTCGACGAGCTCAAGTCCCACCACCGCCCCCGCTCCAGACAGTCCGGCATCCACATGCCGCGGCCCGGCGTAGCTGTTGATCGTAAGCGCCTCGACAAGGACCACACTGCCATCTGAAGCAAGGTAGACTACATCGCCGTCGCCGTCGCCGTCCACATCGCCAGCTGCTACAATCGATCCCGTTGGCGTCACAAACGGCGCTTTCGTTGTAGTACCCACCTGTTGCCGCGGCGTCGTTATCCAGTCGGACACATTCGATGGCGAAACAATCAGTTCCATGGTGGAATCTAAAGCAACTATAACATCGCGAACGTCGTCGCCATTGATGTCGACTGAGACAAATGACCAGCTGCCGCGGTTGGGTAGCACGTACTCGTGGACGTCAAAGTTGCCTGTCCCGTCATTAACAGCCCTCACGAGCCGGGCCTCGGACGATGACTGCCTGTACACGTACTCAATATCCACATCGGTGTCGTTGTCGAAATCTGCAGCAATAAACCGAGACTCGACGGCGCGGGTCGTGAACGACGGCATCTGTGAAAACGAGGCCCCGTTGTTACGGAACCAAGCTACTCCCCAATCCGATCTCGTACCCAGCACCACATCGTCCAGGCCATCCCCATCGATGTCGGCAGCACCCATTGACGACAGAAGCTTAGAAATTGGAAACGCCGTCATCTCATCTTGTACACCGCTTGCCCCATACGACCCATAAAGGATGGCATCTGGGGTGGCACCGATGCCGTCTTGATAGTAGATGAGCTCCAGCTGCCCGTCACCATCCAAGTCGCCCATCGTTACGATAGTTCTCCTCCTGGACGCCCCCATCACAACTTCTGGAAACCGACCATCGACGTTGAGCGCCCACCAGAACTTGCCAGCATCACCCAATGACCACACCAGGTCTAGATCGCCGTCCGC